TTGGGGCACCAAAACATCCAGGACCGCCACTGTACCGTATTTACTGTATTACATATCCTCCAATGAACATTATTTTGGCCAGTCAGATAACAAATGCTGCCCTGATTGTTTTCCAGTGGTTGTTTCCCCACCAGAAGATGCAGGAGAGGTGAGTTTTGCCATTTTGAATCTTTAACCATGTGTAAGGCTTTCTGTGCTGGACCTCCCACAGCAATGACACAGCATGAATCCTGCCGCTAGTTTACCTTTCTCGTTTCTTATGTTCATGCTGTTCAGGATCGAGTAGATCAACTTTTTCATTACTCCCTCACTTCACCCTCCCTTTCCAAGTGTGAAGGAGAAACTATCAAAACAAAACAATCATATATCTAAAATGTCTTCACTGAAATGAATTTCTGCAGTGAGGTTTTACTGATCATGTCACTCAACCAAAGAGTTTCCAGCAGTGTCTTATTGTGTTTGCCCCTCATGTGCTCGCTTCTCTACTTCTCTGTTCTTTGACTTCCCTCTTCTTAAGGACACTTAACACCTAACTGTCTACTAACTTTTTCTTAGAAACACTACAGCTATATATGATTGTTTTCACTTCTCTTTTTAACATATTTTTTGGTTCAACATAATTCTAACAGTGAATAATGAATCATCAACATAGTGAACATACATATTTCACTGAATATCTTGAGCTCTGCAGAGATGACAAAATGTCTACAGATGATACTTATCAGCTATCATATTGTGCTCTTAGTCTTTATTTCTCTAACACACGGAGAATACAGTTTTGAACCAACTTATCATATACTAAATAATGTTAGAATACTTTCAACTATTTAATTCTCCTGCATGTAAGATACAAACTACTTTGTAGGAAACCTTTCAGGCTTGTGTAACTGTCTGTTCTTCTCCACTCATCATTCTCACTCAGCATTACTTTCATTGTTTGCTGCTATGGTATTTGACTCCCTTTGCATGATAAGAACTTTTTCTTACCTAAATGGAAAATGTGTATATTTTCCCCTTTGTCTTGTAGCTCCCAACCTCAGTGCCTGTTTGCTAATGTACAGCCTTTGTAGACACGTTGCACCAGTGCATTGTCTTATTTGGTACCAGTCTGATAACAAACATGTTATGAACAGAGTGCAGGTCCTGATGGAGTCTACCAATCACTCCACCCAGTTACGATGGATGAAGACCAGGTCTATAGCACTCTCTCACCCACCAGAGGGGAATGTGACTCCACAGTTAAGTCACAGATTGAATGAGTGCTGCAGAAGGAGCTGTTGCATCATGTCTGTGGAGTTTTTTAAGTTGGAGCATTTACACATGCTGGCAGACTTCAGTTGCATGTGGTCAGGCACACTTAGTGCTGCACGGCTGTGGTTTGTGTTAAAGTGTTAAATTCACACCCTCACACTGCATCCTGTATGAATTCTCTCTGTATATCTGTATATCTATCTCTGTAATCTGAAGAAATAATATATTCCTATTTTATATGCATTGTTTGCTGTTTTGTACATTAGCAGTGGACATTAGTGTGTGTGTGTGTGTGTGTGTGTGTGTGTGTGTGTGTGTGCGTGCGTGCGTGTGTGTGTGTGTGTGTGTGTGTGTGT